ACCCCATGGTGTGCATGTACCTGCCACCAGCAACAAGCTGGGCTGGGACTCCACAGACTGCTTGCAGCCTCCTGGCTGCCTGCCACAATCAGCCCAAGCCCTGGGCAGGCCCTGCTGCCCACCATGCAACCTGGACTACTCACAGGAGGCAGTAGGGAGGCTGTAAGCAGCTGCACTGGGATCTGCAGAGACCTGGCCCAGCTCTTTACTCATAGTGGGTGCATGTGCACCTCAAGGTGGATGATAGGAAGGGGCCAGGCCTGCATTGCCACAACAAGTATCAGACCCTTTGTGGCTCCTCCACCATCCACCCCAAGGCACATGTACCAAGCAAAACGCCTTTGTGTGCCGCACTCTGACATGTGTGCTGGGGGGGGAGGGTTGACCCCTAGAGATGTACAGCTTGTTTAAGCAATAATGAGAACATATCCTACAAATACCTGAAGCGTATAAACACCAGAAAAATAAAGGAATAATATATGGGGGTATATGAAGGGAGCATAAGTAGGAGTGACAGAAAGAAAAGGATTGTTTATGCTGAATTAGAGGGGAAACTTCCAGACTGTAAGATGCATTACCCTGTATAATCATTCTGCCCAGCAATTTCCATTACTTGAAACTTTTCAAAAATAGACTGGATGAAAGAGTAGAAAATTTGTGATAGAGAAGAGCCCTGAATTGGCAAGAGGATGGGCTAAATGATCCAAGTCATCTTTCCAATTTCTGACTCCTCAAATCAGTCATGTTACACCCATGCAATGGGGTAATATAAATAACATTACCAGAAATACAAATGTGACATGTCCAACTGGAAATAACCATTTAATATACTAATCCTGACAATAAGAAAATACTGTCGAGTACCAAATTTGAAGTCACTAGAATGTCATCCAACTTTAAAGTGTTTTACTCATTTTGGCGGGAAAGAAACATATCTGCGTGAAATCATGTTGTGCTTGCATTCCACTCTGTATCTGTAGAACTCTACAAAGACAGAGGAAGAGATGAAGAGTTTCACTTCATAAACTAAATTTATTGCAGCGCCCTACAGATGGATGAGATGAGTAGCATCTCAATTCTGATAAATATGGAAGTAACACAGTGAATAGGAAGGTTAAATGTATCTGCAAGGAGAAGGAAAATTCATATAAAAACTGCTTCTGAAGTGTTCGTATATAATGTAGACCACATAAATAGTAACTAAAATGTAAACAAAATGTACAGAAATAGAAAGCATATGTCAAAAGCACATTTACTTGACCCTATTCCACTAAAAATATCCTTATTTCCTGTTCTCAGTTTAATCCATCTACAACCGTCTTCGCTTATATAATCTAATACATATCCCACATGTTGCTCTGAGTTCATATACAGAGAACATTAGGGAGAAAGATTTTATTGCCATAGCCTCTCAACAGATATTTACTAGGATTATGGTGCTTCAGGACACTAAATATTGCTTCTCTTACAGTTTCCTTTTTTCTCCCAAGTTAAAAATTCAATTAGGAAATGTGTAACATTAGGGTAGTGCTAGATTTATAAAGTGCACTAAATCTTTTATCTTGATTGGATGTTCCATGGATAACCTTCTTGCCTCTGGAAATGCTTAACAAAACCAGAATGAATATATCTGGTGACCAATGAGATAAGTTATTAACATACTGAAATGTGATAAAGCAAAGGGATTTTAGCCCAACATTGCGAAAATCATTCAATTGTAACATACTGCAGAGTAAGTTTCAGCTCTGAGGTGGAGAGACTGAACCACTTTGTGACTGCTGAGAGAGCCATGCTAGAAGGGAACTCAGCTGGATACAGAAAATGCCACCAAAAAGGCTCTCCTCCATGACTTTCTAAGCAAGGAGGGAAGCATTAAACTCTTGGCACGATTCTAGCAGGTCAACAACAACAATCACCTTCAGGAACATGCAGGATTTACATTTAAACCCAAGATTCAGATGCCAAATGCAAGTATCTTCATCATGTGCGAAGGTTTATTAGCTACAAGCAGCTAGCTAGTGATATTGCAGTTACAATGATGCTTCACAGTTGTGGAAGACCACAGTAAGCCTTTAATGTTGGATAGAACTTTTGTATTTGCCTACATCAACTTTTCTGGTCACATATTGAAGGAACCCATTAGAAATGTGGTTGAAGAATATGGGCATCACTTAATAAGGGAAAGGCTGTAATAACTTGTTTTAAAGAAGGAAAACAAAGAAGAGAGAGCTGATCTGTGAGCTGGATCTCTAGATAACAGTTTACCTACCTGCAAACTGATGACAGACAGCAAATGAGTTTGGCTCCAATACATTATAGACACATATTTAATTTTTCTGAAATACTATAGTATCACTTAAGTGCTAAGGCACTCATGAATACCATGGAGCAACCACAGATGCATCAAATCTTAATCAACCCTGTCTGGACAGTCCCTGGTTTAAAGTATTTATAAGTAAATATGAAGGCATATTTACTTCACCTCTTTATCTACTTTCATTTTCCTTTATTATTTTTACTCAGCCTTCAGATACTCACTGAAGAACCCAATAAATAACAATGAAGTATGCAAACGGCCTGATTCTCATTTACATGAAGACCTCTTTATACTGTCTTATAAAGACAGAGATAATAAAAAGATACTTTCAAGCCTTTTTACATTGCCTGTTTTTTTATGGCTTCAATGTAAATGAAAACTGGTCGCAGAGTGAACAGGCTAGTGGTGCTTGTTTATTCATTAATGTTGCTCTTTGCTTATATAGAACATCCTATTGTACATTTAGTTTGTGACAGTCTATCATTATTCCCCTATGCTCTGTGTTTTAAGACAGGAACAAAAACTATAAAGTAATAAGGCTGTAAAGCAAAATATATTCTCTTCTGGGGTGTTCCCCTAGAAGGATATAAGAACAGGGTTTTCCTGAAACCTGTGGAGCATTTAATCAGCTACTTCACAATTGTAATTGCAGTGTAAAAATTGGTAGCATCTATCACTTCCTGTGTGTCTTCCATAATGGATTTTTAACCAGTGGACTCATACAATTCAGCTCCCCTGGATGTGTTGTCATTTCACTCACCACCCCATCCCAAAGCATGCCCATGCTGAGCCCTCTACACAGGCACTCCCTGTGTGCAATAGGACAGGAATAGATCTAGTGCTTTTTTGGCTTTGCATAATTGTACAAGGTAGGTACGAGATTTTCCCTTCAGTCTGACCTATACATATCTACTTTTCAAATGATAAACTGGACTGAAGTTGGAAAAAAGCTCAAACATTTTTTGATATGAAGTGTTCTTACCTCCTGGACAGTGCCTCATTGCCATTTTACATCTTCTAGACTCTGCAATGGTTGGGCAAGGTATTGTGTCTTTTGCTGGCTTTTTCACAATTTGCCTTGTTCTTGTTTCCAGACCCCATTTAAATCCACATGTTTTGTTATTTCTGCTGCAAGTTCCCCATTCACTCCACTGACTCACTTCACAGCCCTCTAATGAAGCAAAACATGTCACAAATTAGTGCTTTTGTCTACATCTGTCTCTCTTCCAGTGTCTAAGGTAATTCTAAAGAGCATTGGTATTAAATTATAAAATCATTGTTTGTAAACTTTATTATTAGGTGAAATCTGAGGTTATTATGTAATTGTGGAATTTTACAAGACAATTGTGACAGAAACTTCTGGTATCCTACTGCAAACAAAAGCAACTAACTAGTTATACATAGGTTCTTTGGTATTTCATTATTTCCATGGCTTTTAACAATTTTCTCTTGAAAAGAATGAGTTCATTCTTTGAAATTATGATACCTGCAAGAACATTTTAAATCGGTACTTCTCCTTAAACTTGGATATTAAGCCCATCTCAATTTTTAAGTCTAGTTAGATAGACAGGATTTATACCATTAGGTATGTCAAGTGTTTTTCATACGGTCTTAAGGTGAACAGCAAAATTTATGAATTAATTAAAGAATCAAGGTAAGTTGGAAATAACTAGAAAAAAGAAAACACAGTAGCATTTTATGAGTGTGATGGATTTGCAGGGTAAATTGCAACATTTTAAGTGCACAATAGAACCAGAACTCAGCTGGTATCTAGGGGGAGATTCTGTAATAGTTTTCAGTCTTTAAGAATCCTATTTTTAAGCTGATACACACAAAGGCATTAATATAGTAACATTGTTAACCAGTTAGGCCCCCCATAAGGTATAAGACATATTTTAAAAAAAACAAAACCTGTGCTCATTTACTTTATTAGTTTGATGAACCATTACTGTGGTTCTTGTTTCAAACTTTCTCTCTCAGTCGTCAAGGTTAGAAATGTACTTTTTAAAAATGAAAACTGAGTTTCACATGATATGACTCCACAATCTGGGGCTTCAAGAAAAAAATGTCATACACTGTGAGACTCAAGAGTGGGTCTTGGTAATGCTGTCTCAGTTTTACACTGAGTTTTACACTGACTATGGCTGTTTCAGTTTTGTAAAACTAACATTTCCACTGAAAATACTCAGATGGTGGTTTAACCTGGGACTTTTTTCTTTTCCAAAGTAAATTCAAAACTGAACTAGAGATTCAGCCCAATATATTTTACTAGCTGCCCTACAGCTCCTCTTTGCTGCTGTCATTGCTGTCATCAGTGTTGTCTCTGCGTTGCCCAGTGGGGCAATGGAAAGGAGCCGCAGGGCAGCCCAGGTGTGGGTTCTGGGCAGCTGCAACAAGAAGGCCCCAGCTGCAGTGAAGGGGAGGTGGCCGCTTTTCCCCTGTGCCCAGCAGCAGCTTCTGCCTGGCTGCCACTGCTGCTCAGCATGGGTGGACAGTTCAAAGCAGGTGTGGGGCAGGCCGGGGTCGGGGCTGTGCACATAGGTCCCAGCTAGTCTGAAACTGGTCCACTCCAACCATGGCGAGTCCAAAGCAAGTGTGGGGCAGGCCAAGACCAGGGCCAGGGCTGTGTGCTCAGCTGCTGTGGGCAATGGCAGGGAGGACCAGCAGGGCAGGCAGTCTCTATGTACCCCACGGGCCCGTATAATTGCCTGCCCCTGCATTAAATGAAAAAAAAATTATTTGAACTTGCTCCCCTTAACATCTGCTCAAGATGTTAGCACAAGACTTTTAGAAATGTTAGTCCCAATTAATAGGGTAACTGACTGAAAAATGCAGAATAAGTTCAACAGGTCTTCCATAAGGACACAGATATTAAAATGAGTTGCTTGTATTGTCAAGTTGTGCTCAGACACTCACCCACACATTCCATTGTTTCCTCTAATGCTGCAAATCCAGCTGGGCATCCTCCAAAACAACGGCCTCGGTGCAAATAGAAGCCAGCTTTGCATTTGGTACAAAAGTCTCTGCTAAAGCAGGAGTCACAGTTTTCTATTCTGCATCCTAAATAAGAGATAATAGATCTCTGTTAAAAAATATCTCAAAATGAAAATACTTGTAAAGCAACAAACTAGCAAACGCAGTATAAAAGAGATGCGGCCTAGGGGTACACCAATAAAGATTTTTTTTGGCCGATACCGATGGCCAATAATTAACCAGCCAATGATTAACCAGCCATATCGGCAGATATCAATCTGGTTACCAATGTGCAGCCCTGCAGCTTAGAGGACAGCGTCCAGCCAGTAAGTCTGTGGGGGGAAAGACCCATGGGGAGCACAGATTGAGGCCCTCATGGTGATGGAGGGAGTGGAGTAGGGCTGGGGCAGGGACAGGGAAAGGAAAAGGCACTGCCTAACTGCGGGGGGGTGACGTGTGGGACAGAGGCATGGGTGGCTCATTTGGAGGGTGTGTGTGTGGGGGTGGCTTCTGCCACTATGCGCACCTCCAAGGGAGTCATGGGGAACATGTGCCTCCTGGATTTGTACGCGGGGCACGGGCAGGCTACCCACTGTGGGCTGGGACCAGGGGCCGTATCAGCCTCTTCCTAGCAGGGAGGCTGGGCCAGGACTGTGCTTGGGGCAGGCAGAGGCAGGGCAGGCAGCAGCAGCATTGGGAGGGAGGGCTATGGGATGGGATACAGCCACCCCAAAATTTGCTGTACCTCCCCTGTAGTCCCCACTCCCAGTACTGCTGCCACCACCTGCTCCACCCCCATCTCCCCAAGCACTGCCCTGGCCCTGACCCCCAGCCAGGAAGAGACCAGCGCAGCCCACAGCAGGCAGCCTGCACTTGACCCACACACAAATCTGGGGGACATATGTCCCCATGCTTCACCCAGGGCTACATGCCCTGTGTCCCCCAGATGAGCCACCCACGGCTTCATCCCACATCCTGCCCTGCCCGGGCAGCACCTGCTCCTGCCCCATTACTTCCCTCACAGTGGGGGGCCTTGATACCCTTTTCCCCAAAAACCTTACCAACAGGACACTGCTCTCCAAGCTGCAGGGCTGCATTCCTGGCTGTGTGCATGCTGCATCTGCATGCATGCATGTGGCATTTATTGATGACATTATCAGTCACATCAGCCAAAAAAGCCAATTGTCAATAATGTCAATTTTCCTTTTACAGTGCTGATACAATATGGACTGATATGTTGGTGCACCTATAATGCTGTCAGCTGGTAAACTTAGTAGAATGTAAAACAGGAAATTTTAATTACCTTTAAATGACTAGATTCAACATTCAAAAAGCTTGAGGTGGAATTGATCTAAGGTACACAGGTTACTGTAAGCAGCATAATTTAGATCAGTAGTAAACAGAATACATATTCACTCTTTGGTGGGGGCGAGGCAAATCTTAGACTGGGTTCCACCATTTTTAAACCAGTCTGTGTGTGCCAAACTTCTGTTCTTTTACAGGTATAGACCAGTTTACAGTCACTTATATTGGTAAAAGTGTAACATCTATACCTGGCCAATATGATTAGCTGACAGGGCTCACAGCTATGGAAGTGCATGGTGTGCTTCTATGGCTGGGTACCAAGCTTGCTACTTGCCTGTGCAGGGGGAATCCAGGATTGGACTGCCCCTCCACCAGCAGTATGGCACAATGGGACCTGATGCAAGATCCCACAATTGTGCCTCCTGCCATGCACATTTGGCCTCCTGCCATGCTTGGAATCCACATCAGATCTCATCCTGTCTTTACTTGAATGTCTGTCAGGTGTCTGACATACCACAGTTGCCCCAAATCTACCACAAATGTGTGTGATTTTAAACTTTAGTTTCTCATTTTTTCATTTTTTTTTCAATTCCTTGTTGCTGTATTAAAGATTAATTCAAACCATAAAGGACATTGGCTAAACACAGTATGTTGTCAAGTGCATAAAGCTATAACAGATATCTTATTTTGGTTTTTTTTGCCTTAGGCATTATTGAAATTTTATTTGGCTTTACTAAAATAGGTGAATAAAAATTCAGATAAGTGTGATCTTTGAGTTGCTGATATTTCTAGGAGGGTAAGGGAGACAAGTTTTTCAAGACTGAATTTTAACTGAATATTTGTGGAAAGAAAAAGAGCTGAAACATTATATTTGGAGAAAAAAATGGATAAGTCAATATATATTACTGTCACCTATCTTTGCATACAGGGTCCAAATGCTTTCTATTAGCTTGCAATTTGAACAGAATCTCAGCAGCTATTATAGATGTTTTCTTATGCTATGCCTGATTTCCATACTAGTGTACATGTCTCTATGGTATTCTACAGATGCAAACTTCTTCCAGATTTCAGTGACCAGTACCCTGAACACCAACTATCCTTTAAGTCAACAAATAACTGCTACTGACCAGACCCTCTTCTACCTATTAGGCTCCTAAATGTGATCCTATTCTACCCTGTTTGTCCCTGAAAAAAAACAATAATATCATGTGACAACTATTGTAAGATGCCATCTTCTTAGCCCAAGACAAAAACACAGCAGGAGGAGAGCCAATTGACTTAGCTTTTTGTTAACCTTTTTTTTTCCAGGGACTCAAGCAGGGAAAAACAGCATCACTTAAGTTGGTTGCATCTACTCAGACCCTTAACAGGTGAAATAGGATCAGGCCCTATAACTGTCCAAGTAGAAGGCATGAAATGTATATTTAATAATAGAAATAATAATTTTAAAAGTATATATTAAAAAATTATGAAAAATTCCCTCAAAAAGTGATAGTTTAACAGTGCTGCTTCTAATGTTTAGAACAGAAGTTAAGACTTCTCAGTTTCATTTTCCAATAATGTAACTAAAATATTTTTCAAATCCCCTATTATAGTTTATTTGACAGCTTACAGTCATTACTACTGGTTTCAGTCATGCTGATTTTTTTCTATTTAATTATTATAACTGCTGACTTCTATATCATTATTTCTTTCTTGAGACATAGATTTCTGTTACAATTATGCATTTTTCAAGTCTCTTAAAGCATAAAGAAGCAGCTCTGTGCTGACTTAATCTTGGGGCTGTTCTTGAACGTCTTTCTCTTTCTCATGATAAAGGCTGACTTGGATAAACTTAGTAAGTGTGCGGATACAAACCTGATGACGTTCAATATTGATAAATGTAAGGTACTCCACCTTGGGGAAAAAAACCTGCAGCATACTTATAGGCTTGGCAGTGCTACACTCGCTAGCAACACAGCTGAAAGAAACTTGGGGGTCACGATTGACCACAAGCTGAACATGAGCCACCAATGCAATGTCACAGCTGGCAAAGCAAACAATACTCTGGCTTGCATCCATAGATGCTTCTCAAGTAAATTTCAGGAAGTCATCCTCCCGCTGTACTCAGCCTTGGTGAGACCACAACTGGAGTACTGAATCCAATTCTGGACTCCACAATTCAACAAGGATGTTGAGAAGTTTGAGAGAGTCCATAGGAGAGCCATGCACATGATCAGAGGGCAAGAGAATAGGTTTTATGAAGAGAGGCTGAGCCGTGGGACTTTTCAGCCTGGAAAAACGCAGGCTCGGGGGGACCTGGAGACTATTTAAAAGTATATAAGGGGTGTACATCAGGATCTGGGAGAATGTCTGTTTGCCAGAGCGCCCCAAGGGAAAATAAGGACCAATAATCATAAACTCCTACAAGACCATTTTAGGCTGGACATAAGAAAAAATTTCTTTACTGTCTGAACCCCCAAGATCTGGAATAGACTCCCCCCAGAGGTGGTGCAGGCACCTACTCTGGACTCATTCAAGAAGCATTTGGATGCTTATCTTGCTGGGATCCTTTGACCCCAGCTGACTTCCTGCCCCTGGGGCAGGGGGCTGGACTTGATGATCTTCAAGGTCCCTTCCAGCCCTAACATCTATGAAATCTATGAAAGAACTCAGAAATGTCACAGCAGGTCAGAATTTTTGGAAAACTATGACTTCCTATTTGAAATCTCTGGGTTTATCTTGTGAATCATGTCTGGACATCTAACAGTGCTAACATTGTGTGGCACCACTGGCACCCTTGAAAAGATCTCAAGGTACCCCATGGCACCCTGTTTGAGAATCACTAGATTAGAGCAATTTACATCTTAAGGTGATGGCTGTATATTATTTAAGACTAAGTTGAAAGTAAGTGCTGTTCTTCTATGACCTAAAACTAGTGATTCCATGGAACAAGAAATTCCTTCTCAACGTTCTCCTGAAAAGGCATCATCTGACCTAGTGTGTGGACTGCTGAAGTATGATGTAAATAGGGAAAAGTAATGGCAACTAATTTAGCAGAACACAGTGCAAGATCTCTTTCATCACACATAGCCTAGTCAGGTCAGAAACAAAGAAAAAAATGCCAAAATGGAAGAGACTTCCACTTTCCCAAAGCACATAGGCCTAGACTGCCAACGGTATTTATTAGGCCTGTGCGAAGTGGCTAGTATTCGCTTCGGATTTGGATTTGGCCAATTTGGGGGACAGTGATTCAACTTGGTGATTCGATAGCTGCCTCACCCAACCCCAGTTAAGCCCTGCACTCACCAGGTGCTGCCAGGCACAGGGAGTGATCCCTGCTGCCCCCCACTGCCCCATGCTGCATGGGGCAGGGTCTGCCACGAGCCCGCAGAAGCCCTGGCAGCTGTTGAGTACAGGGCCGAGTGGGGCAGCCATTGATGGGGCTGGGAAAGTGGGTGGGGGATAGGGGCTCATGGCAGAGCCCTTCACACAGTGCAGGGAAGTGGGGGGCAGTGGGAATCATTCCCCCTCACCTGGCAGCAGCTGGTCAGTCTTTTTTTTTTCTCTAAAGCACCAGGATGCTGGGGCCAGGTGGGGCAGCCATTGACAGGACTGGCAGAGTGGGCAGAGGTCAGGGGCCACTCAGAGGGGTTGGGGGAGCAGGCAGGGGATGGGGCCTGGCGGTGGTCCCCCCACCCCCTACTTATTGGCACGGGGTCTGGGTCCAGCTCCCTGCAGCAGTGAGTGGAGACTGCCTAAATCTCTGAAGCTGTCCAAATCTTTTCTAAATCAATTCAGAG